TAGTACTGATATTTGAGTGGTGACCATCGCGATTAAAACATGCTGCTTAGTGCAGCGAGATAATTTATGTATTATGACACTTTTCGCTAATGAGTTGATTGATTACATCTGCAAATCCCGTTGTTCACATTATGCAACTCATGCATTAGATATTTAACCAAACAAAGGTTATGAATCGTGGGTTATCAATGACATATCGTCACAACCGCACAAATATACGCAAAACAAAAGAAGCTATACACCATACCTGAAGGGTGATCGCTTGTGTTGATCAGTGGAAAACTGATGATGAAATATGATTGGATATCGAGAGTTCAAAGAAGGTACAACTTGTAGAGCCTTCCTGTAAGCAAATCAAGATAAGATGGTCACTAATTCAAATATATGCAAAGAATAGAAGCTATGCAATATACCCAAAAGGTGATCGCTTGTGTTGATCAATGGCAAACTGATGACGGAATATATTTGGATATCGAGAGTTCGAATAAGGCCCAACTTGCAGACTTGCAACCTGCAAGCACATCGAGGTAAGACGGACATTAATTTACATTTAGAATATGGTGAGTTAAGAACATAATCAAGAACCTGAGAAACATTATTAATCGCTTCTCAGAATACATGAGCAATAAAAGAAGTTATGCCTTAGTTGTGCATGTTACTTTTGATCAGTGGAAAAATGAGATATCAGACAACGCGAGTGCTGATTATACGTAACCTTCTTGTAAGGAAAGGAATATAAGAGTGACAATGAAACCACAGACAAAGTGTATTAAATATTAAATTAAAAATAGGTTAACATTAAACTATGCAGCAGTGTTTGAATATAGCAGAGATGGTTGAGCGGTTTCTAAATTCAATTCGGTTCTAACACTGCTTAAAACGTTGATTGCAAAAAGCTGAGTAATATTTGCAGATTAAAGGATAAATAATTGTGCCAGTCAAATTTACTTAAGTACATCATAAGTTACCAAAGCTGCAAGTAGCAAAAGGACAAATACAAAACAACAAACATGCAGTGATAAAGTTGATCCCTCTCAGCAAAATATTAATGTGGTCTAAAAAATGGTGGCTTTGAAAGTGGTTAAGGAGCAATCTGGGGACCAATGATGAAACCTTGGGGAGAAAAACGAAGATCATAAAATTTAATATCACATGAATTGTAATTCAAAGATCACATTATGAAATACCTCCACGAGGTGAGGTGATGCACCATAGCGCAGAGTGGAAACCGCTGGAGAAGGGATGGTTCTTTCCAAACCCACCGAGGAAAACTTAGACCGGGCCAAGACTTACGGAATCGTCACCTTGAACTTCATTCGGCCGAAGGGAAAGTAAAACGGACATTCTCTCCAAGACGCCTAATAAGCATAGATAGCTAGCAAATCAAAGAGAATGGAAAGTGCAAATTCACGTTGCTCTCAACTCCTGTGTGCAGCTCGATTCCGACTATGGCGTACGGATCGATGATACTCGTACCGCAAAGAAGTGCGAAAAATCTCAGGTGAAAAATTGCTATCTTCTTATTCGATTGTTTTTCATATTGCAATATAACAGTCGAACGAAAAATGGTGAATATCCAATCCACCAATTAATGCATCAAGTGAAAAATATAAAGTACAATACTTTCAGACTAAGTGAGATGAAAACAAAATGCGCAATAAACATTATAATCTTAGAAGGCGAAAGTGAAGTATTAAATATGATGCTCAGGAAAACGATGGTAACGAAGCGTCAGTTGCTTTGGATCCAAAGAATGGACGTCGCTCATTGCAAGATGCAAATTTGTCTCGAATCGCTTCGGTTTGCTTTTACTGAATATTCAGAAAAATTGTCGAGTAAAAGTCACTGAAGCTGTTGCCCCAACGGAGGTTTCGGAAAGCGAAAAAGTTGAAAACTTTTACATATACAAATGGCGGGAATATAGGACAAGAAAAGATCTCAAGCACTACAAAGGAGAACGACTACAGTAAACGGTCTATGAGATATAGCATGTGCAGAAAAGTGCAAAAAATGTCGCTGCTTATGTTTAATTGTAGAGTTAAAAAATGGTTTCAGATGGAGAGTAACAAACCGCGAGGCGATGGCAGATTCGTACATACATTTCCATGACATTTTTTTAACTGAAGCGTGAATATCATTGTTAATCGTGCATCAGAAGTGAGGCATGACATGCTTTAAATTTTGCCAACTGAAGTTAGTGTGGCACTGCTTCAGAGGAACAGTGAACCCTTTGGTTCCAGATCAGAAAAGTGAAATATTGTCATGGCAAAAGTATTTACAAGGAATCTCCCATAAGATGAAACACCAACAGTCTGTAAATCCTCTCGAACATTACTACTCCATAATCAGGTGATCAAGAAGACTAGCTTAATTATGGATCTATGTGTCTCCTAT